AAGGTTGTCGTGATGAACTGAGCGGTAGAGGAGAGGGATTGAATCATCGCTGGAAGAGTAAGGGTGTTGGCAGGTAAGGAGAGGTGATAGAGAGGAAGTGCCTACAAGCAACGGCGGTTCGGTATTGAGCGTCGAGGTTTGCGTCGATCTAGAGAAGAGAAGACGTTGGCACCGTGGAGGCATGCAGGCGACAAAGAGCGCAAGTACATACCTCGTCGAAGAGGTAGAACGGGGCTGGGTCGCACTTCTGGATGGCAAAGACTACAGAAATTATCAGAGTCAGATCGAGTAGCATATAGGTTATGACAAATAGCACCTGTGGCGAGAGCAACGAGAGACTTTTGGCCCCCAGACAATTGTTGAATACGTAAGCCCTCATCCACTTTCGAGTTGAAGGAGACCTGGTATTGTATATACTCAGTATCGTATGCAAATACGATTTTGGACAAGACTGTACCTTGATTGAGACACCTGTGTAGTTATCGATAGAGCTTTGCTGAGTCTCTTCAGCCTCGTCCTCCGCTTGCTCGTCCTACATCATATCCAGATCATTATTCGCACATACAATCAGCAATGGCAGAACCAACACACCTGATCAATCCGCCTCTGAATGATCAACCTCCCCCTGCCTGCTGGTACGAGCTTCTCGAACACCTCTTCGAAATTACTCGCGACCTGCTTGAACGTCCGCTCAATTGCTTCGTCCTTCCGCTGGTCAAGCACCTGTACAAGCTCCTCGATCGACTCGGCCGACTTGTCCAGCTCCTCTCTCCGCTCAAGCAGCTGGTCGCGCTGCTTCGTGAAGTTGGTGTATTGTTCAAAGGCCTTTTTGTTCACATGGGCGAACTTTTTCAGGCTTTCATTGACGGCGTGTAGTTTTTTCATGAGCTACGGGGTGGAGGCATTTACAACGGGAAGAGAGAGGAGGGAGGAGAGATGGCACACGCACACGTTCCAGCTTCTCGTTCACGTACTTCTCGAAAGCCTCTTCAGGCAGGACGCCAAGGTCGCGGATGTTTCTGTTGCACTCATCCTTTCGTGTGAGCAGCATCTGACGTTTAGCGAGGTAGCGCTCGGTTGTCTTCTGTTGTTTGGAGATGGATCGGCTGTCTTCTGTTTGCTGGCCTTGGACCTTCTCGAGACTGGAGCGCAGCTCTTGGACTTTGGCGGTCAGGGCTTCGCCCTCCTTCTCCATTTCTGGATAAAGAGGTTATTCGACTTAACGAGTCGCTGCACGAGTACAAATCACCTTGAATCTTCTTTTGCATCCCTTGGATGGAATTGTTCAGCGACCGAAGTTCCCTGGTTCTCGCTTCCAGGTCGTTAGTCGATGTCGAATCATCACTCGGTTCTTCCAGTGCCTCAAGTTTGAGCTTGACTTCTTCTCGTCGGCGCTGAAGGCGTTCCTTGAGCTCGATCTCGAGGGTATTCTTCCTGCCCTCCAGCTGTCTTCATCATCAGCAAAGTAACTTATCAGCCCATACAAGGGCGTACCTCATTCTTCCTCTTGTTCAATTCGAGCATCTCCTTCCTTCTCCTCTCGGTCTCCTTGCCAAGGCTGACGATCAAGGCTTCTTCTTCAGCTGTTATCGTATTTGTGAGAGGTGTGCTGAGTTCGCTCGAGTACGACGCGATCTTCGCCTCGAGGCTTCTCAGCTCAGTCTCAAGCTCCTCCTTCTCCGTCTCCAGCCGTGTAATCCGCTCCGTAGCTCTATCCCTCTCTCTCGCGAGAACAGTCGCCTCCTCTGCCAACCGTTCTCTTGCGTCACGGATCTGCGTCTGTTGGCCAGCGAGGATGGTGATCCTGCCGCCAACCTGGGTGATCTCCACCTCCAGAGTCCGGATCGAGTCCTTCACTTCCTCAGATCGAGTCTTCTCCGCGTCGTACTTCGCTCGCCACGTCCGTACGGATTTGATCGCCTCGATGCGTGACCGACGGACGTCGTGGTAGCCACCCGTCAGAGCACCCTTGCGGTCGACTTTATCCCCGTCCAGGGTGATCGTGTTGATCCCGTGGCTCTTCACGTAGGCAGCCGCAATGGAGAGGTCCCGGCAGACGCAGGTCTTGCCGAACACCTGTTGGAATGCCTTGTCGTACTTGCGGTCGAAGCGGAGCTTGTCAATGAGCGGCTCAACATCCTGCGAGTTGGGTGCTGGCGGGTTCTTGGGCTTGAGGCGGTTGAGGGGCATGAAGGTGACGCGACCTGTTTTTTCTTTGAGCATGACGTCGAGGACTTTGGAGGCGGTCTCGTCGGTATCGACAACGACGTGGAACAGGCTGGAACGGTGTTAGAATAGAAATAGTTGTGATGGTAGTGAAAACCGCACCTGTTACCCGCTGTAAGCTCGACGGCCATATTGAACTTGGGGTCGACGACCTCGAAGAGTCGGTACAGTGGACCATATACCCCTCGTAGGTTGTACCTTTCGGCAATGCTATCGACAGCCTTGAGCCCCTGCCCAGTATCCTTGTCCATCATGCCAGCGAGGTTCCTCTCTGCGGTCTTCAGCTCGTCGGCAGCTCGGCTGACGAGGCTGTCGAGCTTCGTGTCCTCCCTCCATAGCTCCTTCCTCTTCTCGACGAGATCGGCTTGTTCCTCCTTCTTCTTCGTGCTCTCTTCCGACAGCTCTTTCGCTCTCCGCCGCCCATCCTCGACTTTGCCTTGAACGTCCCCGGCTAACGTCTCCAGCTCACCCAACGACCTCCTTGCAGTGCTCAGGTCGGCGTTCGTGCTCTCCAACGCTGTCTCCCTGTCCGTCTTGTAGGTTGTTACCGAGGCGATTTCATGGCGTAAGAACGTATCTCGCTCCGACTTCGTGCGGAACCTGGTGGCCCGACCTTGCTTCGCAAAAAGGGCGTTGAGTCTCGCGCTCGCTTCGTCCAACCTCCGCTTCTCCTGGGTCTCCAGCGCCTTCTGGCTCTCCCACTCAGGTGTCAGCTGGGCGAGCTGAGCTCCCTTCTCCGTGATCTTTGCTTCCAGCTGCCGCAGCTCGGCTTCGAAGTCTTCGCGTCGTCCCCCTGTGCTCTGTGTTGCCGCACGTAAGTCTTCGACGATGCATTCGAGCTCGGTACGCGAGCGGATGAAGTCGGTCAGTTCGGTTTGAGTGTCGCGTCTGCTCTGGGCCACGGTTTCCAGGGAGTGTCGGGCGTCCGCAATGGATTTCTCAAGATCCTAGAAAGAACGTCAATATCGACAGAGGCTGCTGAGGTTCTTGTGACGTACCTGGATCTCCTTCTCGCGCTCGTTGTACTTTTCTCGCCTCACATTCGCCCCATGAACATCCGCTCGCCGATCCTCCTCCACCTCGAGCAGAGTTTCGGCCACTTCCTCCAGTTCTCGTTGATAGAGGGCATACTCCAGACATCGCCGCTCTTTGTCCTTTTCCTGGAACTCCTTGAGTTCTTCCTTCTCTTCCTCAAGCTCATTCAGTCGCGATTCGATGTAGTCTAGCAGCTCGTTGATCTTGCCACGCTTCGCGTCGGTGTCGGCCATGATCTTTAGAGATTCCGCTCGGCGCTGTTCGTAGACCTTCGTTCCGGCAACCTCTTTCAGCAGGGCCAGTCGTTCGTGGTCCTTGGCGTTTGTGAGGGCAGTGATCTGGGAATTGAACAAACTGAGCAAGATGTCCATGAAGGCGAGTTACAGGCACGCACGCGTCCTTGTGGCACAATGTAGTACGGGTTGGACTTGCTGAAGCCGGCACTTTCGAGCAGGTTCATCACGTCCGCCTTGCTTGCACTCTTCTTATCCAAACTGTATTCGTCCTTTTTCAACCCTATTGTCCGCCGTAGAATGACTTCGTCGTGTCCAGTGGGAAATCGGTTGTCGGAGTTGTCGAAGACAATTTCGACTGTGGAACGAGGATGAGATTTGTGAGACCAATCAACTTGTGTTGCTCACCAAAAGCAGAAAGGGTCGCAGCGACCGAAACGCCTTCGTGGAGGAGCGCCTGCCGTTCTTCACGCGACATGGATGTGTAGGCATCGGACAACACGAATCGGATGGCTGGAGAGGCAGAATGATTAATAGAGCAGTAAATTGGTGTAAATTGGCTCACCTGCGAAGAAATTACTCTTCCCCGACCCATTTCGACCAACTACGACGTTATGTCTTGGAGAAAACGGTTCTATCTGTGTCTGGTCGCGATCTGTGTTGAAATGAGAGAAGTTCTTGAGCTTTACTAGAGCATAGCGATACTTACACGATTTAAAGCCCTGAATTGTCAGGGTTTTGATGTACATTGCACCAGAGTAGGGATACTGAGATCCCGCTGCAAGGAGGCTCTGTGGTTCAGGAAGAGAAGAGTGCGTGACACAAATGTGACGCGACGCGATGGTGACGGCACACGTGAAGGCTCCATAGAGTGCACGTGACGTAAACGCGTCGCGTTCCCTGTCTCATTAGCTAGTTACTGTTCTGAGTCCTGACATCTCATTCTTATTGTCCAACAGGGTACACTCGGGTTACACCAAGATCAGGACTGTCTAAAGACGAAAGAATCCATTCCGTAAAAATCATAAACACCAAAGCTAAAGAAAGCAAAGATCACTAAGTAATCAGTACGAAGTCAATGTGCTAAGTTGAGTAACTAAAATACAATGTATCGAGGGTTCTTACTTATTCTTCCCCGACTGTGCTTATCAATCTAGGTATAGAGTAGATAGATATAGAACAAGACCAACAACATCAACGGGTTGTCATCAGTCCGTCCGCGGTTTTCCCTTTCGCGCCTCCGTCTTGATTTCGTTTTTTGCGCCCCTCGATCTACGTCGGAGAGGATGAGCTGTCGACCTTCCCGTGGTATAATATACAGTGATAATAATGATTGATGATGATAAATGCGCGCAGAATGGACCTTTATCCCAGCTCTTTCATGCGGCGCGGTGATGAAGAGATTGATCGTGTCTATCTGCTTGGCGCGTAGGCAAGCAGAAACAGCGGTATGAGAGCCGCGAAACGGGGAAGTAAGAAGGGCTAAACGAAAGGGAAAACGAAGCGTTATGTATCGTCAGGACGAGTCCGCTTCGAGAGATGTCTCATTAGCAGTTCGTACCTACAACGAACAGTCAGCCCAGATGCAGCCTTGAGAAACAGAATACGCACGTCAGCATCGTCACCGCACTATTAGGCACTGTTCTGATCAGATTAACCGAAAGCCCTTTATAAAGACCTGACCAGCCCTCTTTGCGTATAAGTTTCTTTGTCGTGTAGATCACCCCGCCCCGTTTATATTGTTTGACCATCCCATCTGACGACATCTCGTCCGCGAGTGGCCGACGCTGTGTCTGGAGTCGTGTTCGTACCACCTCATGTGGGTAGGTCGCGATCGAGGCCGTCATTTTGGAGATTGCTGAGCACCCAAGAATAGCTTCGGATGATAATGGTGCATCAGAGTCGCCTTCTGTGAGGTAAGCGATCGTCAGACACCAAGTCGTAGACGCATGGAATGAGTGAGGTAAGACGAACGGGCTAGAATCTTCAGCTGCTCGTAGAGAGGGAACTGGACCGCGACGTGGAGGATTCCCAATAAACTCGGGAGAAGGCCGCGATAAAACGCCTTCACGCCTTCTGATTTCCAAATCGTTATGGCAGCATCTAGGGTATGTCTGTATCGGACTTCGTCGCGCGTCTGTGTCTGTAAATGGCCCCCCGGTCAGTGGGCGCCTGCCAGAGTGCCTCAAGCAGACGAACCATAAATCGAGTTTTGATCACCCAGAGCGGGTTGGTGCATATGGTACTCGCAGCGCCCGCGGTCATCGCCGACAGGATGTGTAACGACCACGGATGCTCACGCATAACAGGTTGGTATCCCTTGACCTGGGCCGCCGGGTACAGGCGTTCATTCTGCTTCTGCGACATTCCTCCAAAGCTCGTAGGCGGCTCGCCGAAAACCGTCTTGATCCCGTCATAAACAGCGAAATAAATAGCCCACGTTGGTAGGTAGCCCAGGATCGTGGGCCCCAACCCGCGATACATGCCGCGAATGCCATTCTCAGTGAGGATGTTCTTCACGGTGCCTGCATGACCGAGTATGAGACAAAGCGGAGCGGCGGAGCAAAGGTGTGCGACGCACCAAGAACCCCATAGTAGCCTTCCTGACCTACTATCGCGCGTTGAGCCTGCAGCTTCGTCTTGACCACATCCAGCGGGCAGGTCGCGATGCTAGCTACGAGGCCGCCTCCAGCACCAGCTGATCATCCGTCCATCCGTCCACCCGCACCAGACGGAACCCCGAAGATTGATAATTTGATGTGCCCATCGGAATGCCGTACAACAGCGCAGACGACGAGGATTCCCGGCCAGACGTAGGACCGGGAAACATAAGCCATCGACAACGGAGTGTGAAAGAGGAGGGCCAAGTGAAGGTGAATGCAAAGCAAAGACATGAGATCAGCACATGAAATCAAGTCATCCAAGAGCCGGGGTGAACGACGAGCAGCGCGTACTCACCAATCATGCTGTTCGCCGTCCATTTGCCCTTGCCCTTCGTGGTCTTACGACCAATGCTATACGAGGCCTGTCCCTTACTACCCGCGGTCGGAGCCTGACCCAGCTGGGTGGTTGTAGGCGGTGCGGCGGTCGCCTGAGCGCCCGCAGCCGAGGTTGACGATTGAGGAGGCTTATGTGTCTGGTGGGCAGATGGATCGCCTTCTCCCATATCTCTTCCCCAACGCCTTTGCGTGGGGGATGCAAGGAGTGGGCCGACTTGTTGTCAGTGATGGAGGTCCTGGCTGACGTCGGTGGAGTTGATCCGGGCGTGGGGTGGTCGCCGTCGGGGGAGGGCTCGTCGCCGCTGACGACGGCGATGTCGAGACGGATGGTGGTGCGGGATTGAGGAGGATGGAAAGGTTATCTGCTCGCCGGGAGAGCAATTTATTTATCAAATCATTTCATTTTGACTTAGCTTGGCCTTCCGGTTTCTGCCGCGACCCCTTATCATAATTCTTATCACCAAACAAAAATAATTCAATCCTTGACAGTGACACTGCATTTGGAGCTAGTCGCCGCATCAGTCCTTTTGACTCGGGGCGCTCTACAGAATCCCAGCACATTGGGCGTGCCGTACATGGCCCATGTCTGCATAGGCACACGACCAGACATCTTCGGAAACATCTTCGACAGTTGTCAGTGGCCCACCCTGGTGTCGAAACAGGCAACGAGGCAAGGCACACGCCTGCACACGCGTACGCATGCGCCACAATCGTTGATGCCAACTCGCACCTACCAGCTACCACTTGGACGCGGTCATCATCAAATTCAAGTCATACGTAGAGTCGTAGAATCAGTTGTCAAAATCCTTTAGCTTCTCCCATTCCTCGAGTCCAAAGAAACCAGGTAACCGCTGCCACACCCCTTTCCGAAGATTTTCGTGACATTCTTTGAGGCTTGCGATGCACTGTCTGCATACATTGGTCTTAATCGGTCCATTCTCCCCGTATTCGCTCCAAGGCGACAGATTTGCTACTAGTCCCGTGTCTGAAAGATGGAACTCCGACGCGAGCTCTTTAATGGCTTGATTCCTTAGAGGCCTGCAATTGTTGAGCGTTGCACAGGCTTGACGAGGCATAACACTGTCGCTAGTCCACCATGTTTGCGTATTTTCAAGAATGAAACGACAAATTTTATCGCGGCCTAATGCAGACGCTGCGACAATGGACAAAGGGAGCTGTTCGTCGTCTTTTCCGCTCAAGATTTCCTCCTTTATTGTGGGCAGAACCTCAGTTCTTATGTGGCAGAATTTAAGATGAAATACATACGGCCGGGGTGGTAGACACATACGTCAAGTATGCTGAGGGCAATACCGACGAAATGGAAGTCTCGAGAGCGAGCAGGATCACAGATTGCGACATCTTTTTGAAGGCGACGTTCCCCTCGCCCTCGAGTAAAATATCTTGGCCTTTGAATGATTCATCATAAGCCTCCAAGGTTGTCGGAAAGTCACGACGCAGGCGTTTGAGAGCTTCGTTTTGCAGAAATTCGATTCCATACTTCTTCCCAAGTCTCAGGAAAGCTGACAAGGGAGACATAGCCAGCTGTTTCCGCAAATCGAATGAACTTGGAATGGATTAGCTGCTGGACCCCCGTATTAGAGCTCGGGACTGCTCACTTGTAATTATCGTAGAAAACAGCGAGGACATGTTCTACGTCTGCAGCTTTGTCTCCAAGCGGAACAATCGGGCAGCCATCGAGCATCGCGTCTTGGGGTTGCTCTGGCTGGGGCATGCCGAACATGTCCTTGAACACCGCAGACTGATGAGCCAGCATCGAACGATGAACGCGAAATTGTGTATCTTCTGCCTGGAGGATCACATTGCCATCGTCGAACCAGTACTTGGACCGTTTGAAGGTTACCGTAAGTGGTGCATCCGTTTCCGATCCCGATCCCGTTCCTCCCGATTCAGAGTCCTTCCTTCGGCGCTTTGAGCTTGGCTTCGACATTCTGAGTTTATGTGAATGTTTTTGGCTTGAGAAGTTGCAGTAAACGCGTGAAAGAGGTGAATTGAAGTTTGACATCGTCATTGATAATGACTGAGACGCGAGACACGTGATAACGGAGGGCGCGGCCCGTACCAACCCGACCGCTGATCTGAACATGCGAGCCCTAGACATGGTCCTTCAAACTTTCGAAGGCTTCTCATCCCTCTTGGTACGGATTGCACTTTATATCTAACAAATGCTGCTCGTTCACAATTGATACACTTGCAGGTCCAGAAATGCCGACTCTAGATCTGCAGATAGAGAATACCCGACCACACGTACCGGACGCTCCTCATCTACACAGCTCTCTCCAGCCAATTTTTCGCCTACCCGCGGAACTTCTATACGAAATATTCAGCGAATATATCCGCAACACTTGCAAACCGCCATCGGAACCCGAGCTATCGCCTTCAGTTTCTTATGACGCGACCAACAGTCCTTTCACGCTCGGACAGGTGTGCTCACGCTGGCGCAACGTCGCTATGAGCTTTCCTGATCTTTGGACCACAATAATAATATCCAACCCTCGCACCCAAGCGCACCTTTCCCACACCGTTCTCTGGCTCGAGCGCTCCGCCGGCCAGCCATTGGACCTGACCGTCATAGCGGTCGACTCCGATTCCTTCGATTTCTACGCCGCAGAGCATATCCTGACTGTCTGTGCGTCACTCTCGCACCTCTGGAGGAAAGTGTCTTTGAAGCTCGCCACAACACTGCTCATGCCCCTACACCGTGTACTCCGCGCCTCCTTACCATGCGAGATGCTCGAAGACGTGCATCTTTATTTTAACAGGCGCCTTGGGACATTGGGAATGTGGCTGAACCCGGTCATCCGCGGGATTTGGTCCATCTTCTACTCCTCTCCATCCCTGCGCTCCGTGCATTGGACGACGCGGATCCTGGACTGCTGTTGCCGCGATGCACCTTCCACGCAGCTCGAGTCCATCACCCTGGACCCAATCGACCTCGTCGGCGGGGAGGACGTCCTGCACCTCATATCCCGATTTCCCAACCTGCACCACCTCCACGCGAAAGTCATGCAACAGACGTCGTACGAATACCCCGGGGAAGTCTCGTCTCTTCCCATCGTCTTCCAGCACCTCACCACCCTCCACCTGGAATCAAAGTCCCCGATCTCACTCCTCCTGACGCACATTACCCTCCCGGCTCTCGTCGACCTTTCGTTGGTATCCCATGGCGAAACGGAATCGCTCTTTGCAGTCCCAGCAGTCTTTTCTGACTTCTTGCGCCGATCCCAGTGCCGCGTCGGGAAGTTCGTGTATTGCGACCCACTTGCCTCCGAGCAGCAACTGCACACGGTGTTCACCTTGCCAGAGTTACGATCTCTGACATACTTTGACTTTACTGGGAGGGTGTCGGATCAGACAGCCTCGTTGTTTTCTCGACATGCAGGAGATGGATCGCTTGCTGTCATGCCCCTTCTCGCGACGTTGCGCCTCGGGATATGTTTCACTGCAGACGGAGTGCTCTCGAACGTAGTCTTGTCCCGTCGACCTGCTCTCAAGCGTTATGTGTTCTCGACATCCGATATGTAAATGGACCCGCTACTTCCCTAGTCTTCTTGAAACATGGTCGAGTAGTAGCTCTAGTTTCCTAGGTGTTGTACTGAACCAGAGATTCCCCCACTAGTTTTTTTATGATACCTTTCTCTTTAATAGATGCCATTGGAACAGAAGCGAGTACGTATCAATCCGTTTCTATACATCAGTATGGTGGTCTATATGGTACAAAGGGATGCTACACATCGAAATCTTTAAGCTCCTCCCAACCACCGAGGCCAAAGAAGGTCGGCAACCTCTGCCATATTTCCTCCCGAAAATCATTGTAGCATGCTTCAACATTATCCATGCACCCACTACAGATTTTTGGCTCTATCACAGACGATTCCCAAGGGCAAAGATCAAAGGGCAGCTTGTCATCCGTATAAATCGCAGAGAGGAGGTTTCCAATTACTTGGGGTTTGTGCAACGTGCATGAGCGACTCGGACGATCATGTGAACGGCATTCAGATGAAGGCATAAATGCAGATGTGGTCCACCATTTCTGCGTTAGCCCCAACATAGAACGAATAATTTTGTCACGCCCCAGGACAGCATCAGCGATGATATTCTGCGGCAAACGTTTATCGTCCAGACACAAGAGCGCCTCCTATATCCTTATTTGTAAGACCCTCTAATTGGACGCATGAAAGGATAATAACGCACAGGCGATGAGTAGATGACATATGTGAAATAGGCTGCCGGAAGGACCGACTGAACAGACATACTGTGTCGGAACAAAATTACAGGGCATGCAACATCGCGAGAGTCTGAGCAACAGAGTCTGAGCTGGTGAGAAGGCGTGACCGTGACAAGATTGTACATAACCTGTCGTCTCGCAGCGCAAATTCCTGGACGCATCGTGATCAGTACTTAGGAAGAAAAGCCCTCATCGTTATATTCCCCTACACACCGAAATAAATCAAATAGCTAGGTATAAATTGACGTGATCAAGCATCAAAATCCTTGAGCTTCTCCCATTCTTCGAGTCCAAAAAAACCAGGTAATTTCTTCCAAAGTTCTTTGCGGGCATCCTCGTAGCGATCTTTGAAACCCGTCATGCATGTTGCACATAACCTAGTCTTCATGGGACCTGTACGTTCGCCACCTTCATACACATTCCACGGCGTTAACCTCGGGGCCATTCCTGTGTCTGATGGATAAAGCATCAAGGCGAGCTCTTTGGTGGCCGATCGCCTGTTATTCGTGCACGAGTTCGAATTATTCGAACAGGCACCTAGACCAGCCCACCATGTTTGAATTATATTAAAGGCGCAACGAAGCAGCCTGTCACGGTCTAGGGCACAAATAGCCGTGATGGAAGAGGTCAGAATGTCCCCCTCTTTCCCTGTGAAGAGTTCTCGCTGAAGTTTAGGTTAGCCCCAGCGGTGTAATGTGAGCTCATAATACTTACGGGTGTGACACTCGACACATAGGTCAAATACGCGGACAGCAACACCGAAGGGATAGAGTGATCAAGAGCAAGGAGGATCACAGGCGTGAAAGGTCCACATTCACGAGGGAAATCGTATTTGACCTGGTCTCCTGCGAATGTTTTGTCATAGGCGTCTAAGGTAGCCGGAAAGTCTAGTCGCAGAAGCTTCAAAGCTTCGTTCTGCAAATATTCGATCTCATACTTCTTCCCCAACCTGAGGAAGGCAGACAGTTGAGAAAAATGCATCTTTTGACGCAAATCAAGGGCACTTTCACGGTCACGGCACGACGTCAGCACTAACTTCCTCATGAATGAGGGGACACTCACTTGATGTTATCGTAAAATACGGCGAGGATATGTTCCACATCTTCACCCGTGTCTCCAAGAGTAATAACGGGGCAGTCCTCGACCATCACGTCCTGCGTCTGCTCTTGGGGCTGTGGCATACCAAACATGTCCTTGAACACCTTGGACTGGTGTGCCATCATTGAGCAATGGACGCGAAACAGCGTGCCCTCGGCCCGCAGGACCACATTGCCGTCGTCGAACCAGTACTTGGATCGTTGGACCGAGTTCATGAACAAGAATGGCTTCTGTGTCTCAGAGTCGGATCCTCCTTCTTCTGACTCAGTCCGACGGCGCTTTGAGGCGGGCTCGGACATCCTGTACTTTACGTTTCTTGACGTGCAGGGGATTGGTGACGAAGAGCAGAGGGCAGAAAGGAGAGTCCGAGGTGAGAGACAAGAGCAAAGGGGCGACCATGACAAATATTACGACGCGAATTCTCGGCCCGGACGCGTCAGTAAGTACAAACGAGAGGTTTGCCCGTGCGTAGAGTAAGGAAAGTACAAATATTAATGTTACATATACAGTTGTAAGTATCGTATTCTATGTGGCACAAGGCGTAAGTCTATAGTGCCCAACTCAATCCGTACACAACTCCCATAGCCCACGCCCTGCCCCATACACATTATCGCACCATAGCTCGAGCTCCGTCTGTCCATAAGGCAGCTCGACCAACCATGCCCTGCCCACAGTCGTGTCCTTCTTTCCTGAGCCCGCCGCCGACTTCCCCATCACAGACCTACGCAGCCCACCATGGTCTCTCGGCTTTGTCAATATCACCGTTCGTAACATAGGGAACGTGTCCCGGTCCTTTAGAAGTTCCGAACCCACAGTGGGGCTTGGAAGACTCGCCGTGGGCTCGGTGGTGCCGTACGAAAGGTGGGTGAGCATTGGGAGGATGACATTCACAGGTATTGACACGTCTTCTCCGATCAGGCGAAGGTGGGTGAGGGATTGGAAGAACAGCAGTCCGCTCTGAGAGGCGAGCATCCTCGACCACTGATCGTTGCTCGTCGTGAGCAGTGTGAGGTCCTTGCAGTGCCGATGGCTGAGTTTCGGCGGGGCGTGCGCGTCGGCCGTCAGGTGCGAGGTGACGATCTTGATAGCGTGTTCTACGACGACGGTGCCGGTCGCTAGTGTGTACAGATTCGTGCACTTCCGAACGAGCGCCGTCACCGTCGTGATGTGCTCTGGCTTTGTGGGCGTCACCCACAGGTGATGAATAAGCCGCGCGAGGCGTGGGCGAGAGCGGAGAAACAGATCGAATGAGCACACCTGTTCGGGGGTTATGAGGCGGATGGGGAGGCGAGGGAGGCACGCGTGGAACACGAGTTTCTGGCATTGTGTCGATGTGCGCACAAGAGACGAATATGTCGCGGGGGAGGTACAGTGGCCTAGGATAACAAGAACGAGCTCTGGCGGTAGGTCAAGCAGACGAAATGGTCGCGCTGATGCTAACTTGAGACGACGTTGTTCCTCCCGATCGCGTTCTGTTCGTGCTTGCTTCGCCGCACGGAGACGATGCGCCTGTGCTGGATTTAGTCCCTGCCTGGGCAGTAACAGAACAGATGGGTTCGTTGGTGGTGAAGCACCAGTACTATTGGTGAGTTTGTTAACGAAATAGGTGTAAGATGCAGAGAGGATAACGATGGACGAAATGGTCCATTTAACAGCATCGAGAGTAGGAACCGACATCGTCGAGAATATAGCACCTAGTTATCGTTAGAACCCTCCCCGAACTTCAGAGAAACAAATATCTTGGAGACTCACGAGATGCAGCAAGGCGGACGGCAAGGTAAGATACAGAGAAACGAGACTGAGGCATGATGAAATGCAACAGCGAGGCGATGAGTCAGTCAGTTTATTGACATGGCCTCGCGGCCCGCTTGATTTAAATAGATTATCTGCATATAACACGGCAGCAGCGGTGGTACGAGGAAGGCATCACTTACGGTGCGTATGGGTGGACGTATGAGCCGATATGATGGCACGAGATCAAGAGGATTTTTTGGCCTATAACGTAGTGAGGTACGAGCGTAGGGTTAGGGTGCGGTCTATGCATCAGCGGTGGCAGTGTTAGGTGAGGAGAACCTCTTTCTCCTCGACTGCCACCTGCTGCCCACGCTGAGAGCAGTCCAGCGTTGCGGGCTTTTCTTTTCTCATCGTATCTACCAACACGCGCTGTATCTCTGCTGTTCACTCTACCTAAAGCAACTTCAGGCCACACATGCCGCCACGTATCACACAAGACCCGCACTTGGTGCAACCCCCCGACTTTGAGTCGGAACAATTCCGGGCGCTTTACGCCACCTTAGCCACCGCCGAGCGCACAGTGGACGCTATCATAGCCGACTCCCAAAATGCTTGGACCCAGAACAACGACGCCCAGGTCGAGCAAGACCACGCAGAAGAAGAGGAAGCTAGGGCAGCTCAGGAGCAAGCAAAGCAAGAGGCCGCCGAAGCTGAGAAGCGTGAGAGGGAGAACAAACGGCCCAAGATAAAATCCTTCACCCCGAACAAGACGGTCGGGAAGTTGTCATCTCGTCGACCTTCCCGCTATGCGATCCACAAGATCGAACAACTCGAGTACGTTGAGCTCTACTATTTCACCAAGGAGGCCTGTCTTGAGGCCGAGAGGACGGAATACTCAGTGGCGAGTGCTGGCTGACGGAGAGAACGTGCTGGCCGCCGCTGCGTACAAGCCATCCACAAAGGTCGTCCAGGATGAGAACCTCGAATGGCGCCAAATCATCAAGGCGAAGGACTACATGCTGGAGGCCATGGTGGACGCAGGCTGGCCCGAGGAACATGTCATGGCCCTTGGTGTATTCTTTCTCGAGCTCGACAAGCACCCAATCAGCGACCTAGAGGGGGGAGAAACCGCTGTTCTACTGTACCAGGCGCGCATCCGCTGTAGGTGGATGGAAGACCTCAAGAGCACCAATGACGAGGAAGTCTTCGACATCAGTGTTGTCAATGACAAACGGCTGGATGAAATGTACAGCGAGGTGCTCAACCTCCGTCAGGCCCAAGGCATTAAACGGTCAGTCACCATTTCATTCACAAGCTGAGGGGCATGCAGCTGACAACATCTCACACCGCACTGTCATTAACCCACATCTCATCTTTGCGCCCCTGTGCTCATCATGCACACATGCCGCACGCACCCCCCCCGCACCCATAACCTGCACCCATACCTCCACACCCATAACCCGCACCCATACCTCTGCACCCATAACCTGCACCCATAACTCCACCCATAACCCGTGCCCGTAACCTACACCCACGCCCCGCATCCACGCGGCCCCATATCACACCCATGCTATGTGTCTATATGTCCTCTCCACCTATAATACGTATCTACTTCCCTATACCTACGAGCTTACTCCTACTCCTCTGCATTTC